TGGAAATTGTACCACTGTATGCGGTTTTACTCAGAGCTGGTCTATGGATCTATTGAATGTGAGTGCCAGCCCATTGTCTCCATTGTATGTCTTCCAGCTAACACCAGACAATCTGCACTATTATTGGTTATTTTATGTTTTATTAATTTATTTACAAGCACTTTAAAGTCCAGAAGGTTACCAACCAAGAATATCTCAAGTATACTTTGGACTTTTTGGACTCAGTATTTGGCGCAACCTGCATTATGTTTAGTATCTTTTCTGTTTTTGCTCTTTGTAAGTGGCTGAGGGTATCTCTTACATTCACTGATAAGCTGCCAGATAGTGAAAAATTAAAATAGCATGACAGCAGGCAGGATATGTGCAGGGTCTTTACTCATCTAGCACTGTGTGGGTTTGTGCATAACACGGTAACCTATATTCTTAATTCTCTCCAGTCCTGATTCATTTTGATTTATCCTGGTGGAGTAAAGGTGATAAGGCTACAGGACTACAATGATTATGTATGTCGTCACTGGAGATGTTTGCAAGGGACCGCAGGGGGAGATCGGACAGCCACAACATTCATATAAGATATTTCCTTATACTTGCCCCGCAGGCCAATAGTTGCCAGCCCTCCCCTTACACCAGGGCACTCCAGTCAAATCAATTAGATGGAATGGTTATACTGCCTAAACTAAGCATTATTTACATTCTCTGTGGAAAAATAAACTATATAGAACTTACTGGATGCAACTGTAGTTCAGCAATGCAAAAATCAATGTAATCAAGTTAAGGTAAAGATGCATAATTGAACAGGGCTCTACAAAAAAGAATATAACATAATGAAATTGTTATTGATTTGAATCAAGCCTCCGTTTTCTTCTTCGCTATGTCTAACTTGAGGTTTTCTATCTGCAAGTAGAGATACTGAATCTGCAAGTACTTAGTCCACTCTTCTGGCGTTGAAGTGCAATTACTTATGCTTTCTTGTATTGCCTGGATTTTTTCACACTCATCTCCCTGTGTTGCAGTTACGGGCTGTATAACAAGAAGACATATTAAATAAAATTGTGAGAACAAATCCATTTTTGGGTAATAAAAATGATCTTATTCTATATTTTATATTCATTTGGCTCAAGAGGCTCACCCTTCATTTTGTTTCATTTTAAGCTTAAATTACTGCTCCCTCATTTGTTATTAATTTATTGATCAACCATAGTGATCAATTCAGACGGCTTTGTACAATCCAGTCCTTCTCAAAGACAAGCACTGGAGACATAGCAACATCTGCTGCAATGTCCATACTAAGCGGATCCAATTTATCTCATAGAAAATCCTTGAATCCAAAGCAGGATTAACCATAAGGCCATCTTAGATAGCCACCTCGGGCCTGGGTTAGACAGGTTCTCCAGAACCATGGGGAACTTGTAATTCTTCACCATTCCTGTGTGAAGAATAAAAGGGGACCCCAAACTGGTACCCTGACTTGGGCCATTTGGGAGAGAAGAATTTTAAAGCTTGAAGGTTTTAGGAAGAAAAATGACATCACAGTGTTGCTGTGGGTTACAACGCTCTTATCTCCTGGCGCCCACAGACAGCAACAGCTTCCACTGGACCACAAGGAATCAGGATACCCCGTCCCTCAAGGTAAGCACTAGGTTGGGGGGAATTCAATTAAGTTTTTTCTTTTAATCAATTATTTGTTTTAAGCAGCCCCCACACTACCACTACAGGCCCCTCTCCTCACACTATAGCCACTATCCCCCACCCCACTACAGCCTTTATAACCCTATTAAAGACCCTATCACCTTAACGCATCCAATCGCATATCCCAAACATTTGCATTTATGTCTGTGTAATATGTATATATAATGCCAGTGCTTTGAGGAAACTGGCATTGGGGCAGCATGGAGGCCCTGCCCATGTGTCATATACTAAAAAACACAGTTCACACCACAGATGTGTGCAGTGTGAAATTACAACTGAATATACTGACACAATAAAGGCACCATGTGGCTCTTACTCACCTCACTTTGTATTACAGTTGGAGTGACTGGAGTGGACTCAGTAGGAACAGTTGTGGGAATGGCTGTTAAAAAAAATGATAGAAAAAACATTATTATACACTGCTTCTGTATTGCACCATAAAAATATGGTGCACTATATTTCTTCATAAAAACACATATTGACCCAGCTATTTGTCATGTTTTAAACCTTATGTTTGTTTTATCTTTTGTTTTATAACATCATGGAATCTTTATATACAGCCCAAGCAGACATTTCAAAGTGAACATAAAAATCGTGTGTTTGTCAGTTTATTACTGTATTACAGTGAATATAACACCAATTATCTTTACGATACAGGGCACTGTAGGCCATTGCTGAAGTTGCATATATTCCCTGTAATATATTAGGTGCTTATAGAGACCTCTATCCCTCATCTCTACTCCTTGACAGCAAGAACAAAGCCATGACGTTTGACCTACAAAGATAAGGGTAGATCCCCAGGTGTTGTAGAACTACAACCCCATAATGCTTTACATGCCTTTAGACTGCCTTTGGAATGACAAAGCATCACGGAAGCTGTAGTTTTAAAAGATCTGGGGATCTACCTTTTTGGCACCCCTCCTGTAGTGTGTGGCAAAAGGAGTGGGGATCACTGCTTAGAATTTCTTTCAAAGCTACAGAAGGACAGAATGTAGTCTTGGCATTAGAAGATATTCCTTTCTCTGCAGGGTGACATCAAGTACTGAAGCAAAGGAAGGATAACTTGGGCTTTATGGTCATAGCAGCATTCAGTATTGTTTTGCAAAGCAAAACAAATGTTAGCACACTTACTTTTTTTTTTGTAAATATGATTTTTATTTGTTTATGTTCAACAAAAAAAAAGGAAACAGTTAACTTTGAGACTCGCAGGTCTCTTTTAACCGGTCTCACATGTAGTAAACCATGTTGGAGACAGCAAACAATACGTTTGGAAAATGCAGGTAATATATATTTGGGCTCGCAGGCCCACCTTAGAGTTGGACTCGCAGGTCCCTGGAAGTGATAACCACATTAACAGTTTGCATTTGGGCTCGCAGACCCCCATAACTTATGCGGACTCGCAGGTCCCATGCATTATTGGTAGTCGATTGTGAGTGCCTATGTCCCGTGTGTTGAATTCTTGTTTTACACCTTGTGTGCATGTGGGCAATCCATCCCGTGATTGTTGCCCATCTGCGTCCCCTAGACTCACATGTTGTTTGGGTGATAGAGCTTGATCATTCTATGCGTGTGTGTGTGAAGTATGTCTCAGATTTCGGTGGCTCCGTGGTTTATGTGGTGTCTATTTTGTGGAGTGCTGGGTCTGTGTTTCTCAGTGTTTCGGCATAGATAATTGTCCCCGTTTACGAGGACGTGTGGGTACATGGGTGTCGGCTCTCATAGTGTGTTGGGCCCCTGTTCCTCTGTTTGGGGATCTGCATTTCCTTGAGTAGCGTGTGTGAGGTGGGTTGGAGGGGGAGTAGGTTCAAGCAGGGAAGGAGGGAAAGGATTAGTCGTCCGTCTGTGTTACTGTCTGTCGTGTGTCCTTCACATTGGGTGGCCATGTATTAGTGTAAAAAATGTGGGTTTTGTTGTCTCCAGTATCCAATGTGTCGAAATATCTAGGTATGTCTGTTGCTGCGGTCCAGCCGTGTGCATAGAGAGCTCTTCTATCGCTCATAGTTCTTCCATTTGGGTGAACCACTTGAGCATAGATGGGGTCTCATTTTTCTTCCAGTATTGTGGTATTGTCTGTTTTGCTATATTGAGGATCCGGATTGTAAGAGATTTTTTTGTATTTGGATGTGGGGATAGTTGTATGGTGAAGTAGCATGGCTGCCGGTTCTAGTGGTGGTGGGTTGCCAGAGAATCGGGATAATATTTTGTGGATGGTTCGCCAGTAGGTCTGTATGTACTCGCATTCCCACCATATGTGCAAGGGCGTGCCTGTTGCCCTGTCACATCTCCAGCAGAGGCGGGACCCACTTGTGTGTATGTGGTGTATCGTGTCAGGTGTGCGGTACCACTGCGAGAGTAGTTTGTATGCCGTCTCCTGACTCTTGCTAAAAACTGAGCAATGGTATGTGATATGACAGATCTTTTCCCACTCTGTTTTGCTAAATGTCTGGTTTAGGGCCTCCTCCCATTTCCCCATAAATTTTGGTGTTGTCCAGGGTGTTTGTGATTGTAGTAAAGAGTATAGGAGCGATACGTAATGGATCGGGGTGTTTTCGAAGGTGGTGAGATCCCTGTTTAGGGCTATCCCCTGCGGTATATCTGAAATGGGTTAGGAATGATTGGCCTGCCTCCCCACACATTTCCGTCAAGTCCCTCAGTACCTGTCCGGAACATACATGTCTCAGCCGAGGTAGTGGGTCCCCAACTAGGGCCCGGAGCGCTTTTTGGTCCATGCCTGGCGGGAAGTCTTTGTTGTGCGTGAGGGGGAGTAGTGGGGATGGGTAAGTGGACAGAGCATGTCTTCCCATGCTACTGCGCCATATCTTCAGCATCGCTGAAGTGTATGTGGAGTAGTGTCTCCCCCCACCACCCCGCTGCATGGGAAGCCACAGAAGAAGAGCGGCGGGGACACCCGCCCCGTCTCCTCCGCCGTTTTCCAGAGTTTGATGACCCTCGTCTTAGACCACTCAACAATGGGCTGTAAGTGACACGCCTTATAGTATAGCGCAAAGTCTTTGGGTTGTGTGAGCAGTGTGTATTTCAGTCTGGGTCTCCTTCCGTCCCACACGAATGCCCCCAGTGCCCTTCGAAGTGCAGTAAAGAAAGAGGTTGGGATCACAATAGGTAGGGCTTGAAAGAGATAGAGCAGTCTAGGCAGAAAGTTGATCTTTACGACTTGTATTCTGCCTAGCCAAGATATACGCCCATTCCCTCATCTCTGTTTGGAATTTGGCCAACATCAGGGCGAAGTCTGCCACGTATAATTCTGGTTCTTTTGTCGTCAGCCAGGTGCCTAGGTATCGTATTTTGTCTGTGGCCCACTGGAATGCATGACTCCGGCGGAGCTGGGTGGCCCTCTGCGTGGGTAAATTAACGTTTAAAATATATGATTTAGAAAAATTAATCTTAAGACCCGATATCGCTCCGAATGTCTGGAAGGCTTGAATTAGGTTTGGGAGGGATATTTCCAGATTCATTATGAAAAACTGGACATCGTCCGCGTATGCGGCTATTTTGTGGTGTGTTTCTCCTGTGTTTACCCCTTTGATGTCTGGGTGGTGTCTAATGGTTGTCAGGAAGGGCTCGAGGGCCAGGACGAAGAGCAGCGGGGATAGGAGACACCCCTGACGCGTACCATTATAGATTGGGAAGGCCTCTGTGAGTGCCACGTTGACCACTACATGTGATGAAGGATGGGTGTATAGGGCCTTGATCCATCCTTGTAAGTGTGGTCCCATGCCCATATGTGCCAACGTCCGGAACATGTATTCCCAGCAGACCCTATCAAAAGTCTTCTCCGCGTCCGTGGACAGTACCATTAGGTACTTGTCAATAGAGTCTCGTAGCTTCTGTTCGTGTGTGTCTGTTCGTGGCTGAGGGAGGGAGTATAACTCCGCATAGTAGGCGCGTATAATCTCCTGCATCTAGGGTGTCTGTGTAAAACACCTCCCTTATCCCGAATGAGGTCAATGTACGTGTCCTGTCTTCTTTTTTTAGCATGTATGCTAAGAGTTTACCGCTCTTGTTTCCATGTATGGAGAAGAAAGCCGTAACGCTTCCCTATGAAGTCCGGGGCCTCGGTGTCCCTCTAACAGAGAAGTCAGTTTGCTTAGCAGTTTATAATCACCTGGCCCGTGTGGGAAGATGAAGTGGTCTACTTGCGCCAGGGGTCGGGGTCCCGGTTGTTCTTCCCGTAAGGTCGGCCACTGGTGGCGGAAGGTCCGCGACAGTTAATTAGGTGTCCCAGCAGGTCGTATCGTCTGCATGCATGCGTTCCGCAGTCGTTGAGGTTTAGGGCCTGGTCCTTGCGGCCTAGGGCAAGCAGTATAGAATGTCA